ACTGGATGGGACAGAAGCTGAGAAAGTGGTGACATGAGATAAATTAACAAGCATCCTGATGCCACATGGCTTTCCCTGCTCACCCCTACTCCAGAAACCAGCATCCGGGGCCAGCAGGGTTCACACAGCAGTGCAGGAAGGGAAGAGAAGCAGACTGAATCTCACATCCCCGAGTTTGCTAGCAGACCTCTGCGGCTTGGCTGCACCCAGGTCACAGCACTCACCCACCACTCTGAGCTTGGTGCTGGAGGCCCAGGGCTCTGAAACCAAAGGGAGAAGACATAGGATCTGCCCTCAGGGGACTCAGGCCAAGTACAGAAAAAGCACGGGAGGTGTAAACTCAGTACTTTAAGCCTGGTACTGGTCCTAGTTGGGGCAGTGGCGGCAGCAGCACCACTTAGGAGCTTATCAGTGGGAGCTTATCAGGCGTGCAGAGTCTCAGATCCCAACCCTGACCTACTGAAATCAGAGTCTGTATTTCAACAAAATCCTCGGGTGATTTGGAGGACGCTACAGCGAGAAGCAGCATCATAACAAACAGAGCTTCAACCAAACGCAATGAGGTGGCCAGTAAGGGACAGAAGATGGTGGCCAGAGTGACCCAAGCAGTATGGTCAGGGAGGTGTGGTCACAATAGGAATGCCTTAAAGCCTGGGAGAAGAGGGAAGATGGATAGGCAGACAAACCAATACTGTAGGGTGCTCCCTATGCAAAGTAGGCTACCTGACAGGCTAAAGGTCTGCGGCCATAGCACTGAGGTACTAAGGGACAAGGCCAGGCAGGGGAGAAGACAGCCCTTAGTCCCACATGCTGCCGCCAGACCGGGGTACTGGAGCCTGGCCACAGAGACAACCAGGCCTCTCTACCCAGCTTGTCTGAGGGTCCTGGCTCTCGGTTTCAGCCTGTTTCTGTGCACCAGGCCTTTTGGGAGCACCAAGTCCTGAGCTTCACCAGCCCCAGTCTTGTGAGGTGGCCATGCTCCACAGCTAGAGAACCAGTTGCCCACTGTACCACCACAGCTATGCCTAGGACCAGGAGAAAAAAGCAGTGTGGTCAGGGGAGGTGTGGCTCACAACAGCATCCTGGTCTTCGGGCAGCTCACTATGACTTCTTACCTCCAGGTAGTACTCACCATCGGCATAGGGAAAGGCAACAGAACCTGCCATTTTCTATGTGTGAAAACTGAGGCTCAAAGAAGGCTCCTAACTCAAGCAGGGCCTCTTGGCAGACAGGGCTAAGAGGTGATGTGAGATAAACAGTGACAATAAGTGTATTCCAGGACCAGCAGCAGGAAGTCAGGACAATACCTAGGACCTGCTAGGCCATTGTACCAGTGTCCATGATTTCAGAGCCCAGCTGTTTTTGCCCCAAGGTAAAAATACTTTAGGCCCTTCCTTCCTCTCCCTTCCCTTGCTCACAGCTTTAGGAGGCTCAGGCCAAGAGAGAGTAGAGGCAGGGGAATGAGAAAAGCCAAGCTTCTGCCTACCCCCATTCTCAAGGCTGAGCTAGATTTGAGGGCACAGCAGAAGTCCCAGAACTGACATCTTGTCTAGGGACTTCCCTGCTGGCCTCCACATTCACCCTCACAGCCCCCAAGACACCCACTTAGACAGATAATTAGGTACATACACCCAGGCCAACCCTGGAGTCCAACGCTTAAAGGCTCACCAGCCTCTGGGAACAAAACCAGCTACACCTTCCCTTGCTGTCCCCACTCCCTTTCTCCCCTCCCCCCTTCTTGGAAAAACAAATTATCTAGACACTACACTTTACTTGTTTCAAGTTCCCACCACCAAGCCTTGCCTTCTGGGACATGGCACCTGGGGAAGGAAGGATCCATTTGGGACCAAGGAGCCACGCCAGCCTTAGGCAGAAGCCTGGGGGGCGATGTTCTCAGGGATTGTCATGTGCTGGCCTCTTCCCTTAACCATAAATATAAGTTTCAGAAGGCAAATGGGGAACAGAAGGGGAGGGGAGGGCAAAGTCCTTGTAGACTGGAGGAGCCATGTGGGTAGGTAGGACACAGTGTTGGGGGTGACAAGAAGCAGAGGTAGTCAAGAAAAGCTTACTACTAGTCACAGCCCAGGTTATGGTGGTCCCTCATAGCAAGTCCACTCCAGCTCTGGAAAAGGCATCCAGTCTTCCTCCCCCAGGACAGATGCCAGAAGCAGCCCATCACAGCCAGCTCTGAACTCTAAACCACAAACTCAATCTATCATGGTCTGCTGGCGATTCTTTATTAAACCAATTCTGCTGGATCAATGCTTCCTGCCCATCAAAATGATGAATAAATCCTCAACTGGCCTGGGCAATGCTTGTAGAAACTCTGGTGAAACTGGAGGAGAGCAATGATGATTGGTTCCATACAGGGCCCAATGCTGGTGGCTGAAACTCTAGGAACCAATGCTTGGGTGCTGACTAAGGTGGGAGTAGATTAGTCTGGCTTGTGTGACGAGTTCTCTAAGCTTAGGCAACTTAGCCAGGCCCTTGCTTCTTTGACCTGAAGATGAGGCTAGTTATTTTGGCCTAGAGTCAGGAGAGGTATGACCACCACCCCTCTAGACATGCATACACAGAGAGGATCTTTCTTGGATTTCTTTTTCCCACCAGACCCAGCATCACATAGCTACAAGGCTGCACATAGGGAAGCACACTTCTCGCCACCAGTCCCTGTTGCTTGCTGCACCAACCCAAATTCAAAGTCCAGTTGAACCTTTTTCTCACTATCCATTTATCAGTCCTGTTGCATCCAATCTCTCCCTATGTCACCCACCCTCCTCCCAACTCCATGTCCCAGGCAGCCTGCAGTTAAGTGGAAGGTTCCACAGCAGGGGGATTGCAGACTGATGCACCAGGAAGGGCAGAGGTAAGAACAGGAAAATGGGAAGTTCCTTTGGATGAAATCTACCCAGTCCTAGCACTTCCCCATCCCAGATAAGGGAGGCCACCAGGGCAAGGCCCAGGGCCCAGAAGGTCCCCAGTTAGTGCTTTTTGTTGATGGAGGCTAAGCATGCCTGTGGTTGGCAATGAGCTTGGTGACAAGAACTCTAAAAGGAAACTTTCCTACCACAAAGGCAGGCAGGGGTTGAGCACAGGAGGGAAGGGCCCCTCAAAAATCTGAAGTGGATGATACAGAAATGGTCTGTTGCCACTACTGAGGTATTCAGAGGAGAAGCTTAGAACACCCAGAGGATGGAGGAGACATGGTTCCTGCCCACTCCTCCCTGGCTCAGCTTGGGATCTTCAAGTCCCAGTCCTGGCCAGGAGGACTTCACTCTTTAGGAACTGTGCACTGGAAATCCAGACACAGCTTCTGGGGGGAGAGTCAAGCATTTGCTCACAATTTTGATGATTATAGTTTTGTTCAGTCTGCCCCTTGGCTTCTTTGCCCTCTGGGAAGCCTGAATATTAGGGTTAGAAAGAGCAGTCCCTCGGGAAAAAAAAAAAAAAGAGATAGAGAAAGAGAGAGAGCTGGGCACAGCAGCACACACCTGTAATCCCAGCAGCTGGGGAGGCTGAGATAGGATATTTGCCAGTTCAAAGTCAGCCTCCACAATGACAAGGGCAAGGTACAAAGCAACTCGGACCCTGTCTCTAAATAAAATACAAAATAGGGCTGAGGATATAGCTCAGTGGTTGAGTGCCCCTGAGTTCAATCCCCGGTAACCAACCCTTCCCCTGAGGGGGGAAAAAAAAAAGAAAAGAAAGAGCAGTCCAGGGGCCTCTATTCACCACCTATTTTAAGCCATCCGGTGTTGTCTGACTGGTCATTCCCAACCAGAGAAATCTCTCTCATTGGATGGAAAATGGCTTTGCTCTCATTACAAATCCAGTTTCCCTAGAGTTTGCAAAGAGGGCTCTAGGTTGGCAAAATGCTCATTTATATAGGCAAGCAAGAAGACTAGTTAAGTGAGAGAGATAAATAGGGGGTAGGGTCCAGAGAGAGGAAGAATGAGAGAAACCCAGCTAAAAAGAATGACTGTTTCCCAGACTGTCATCTCAACCTGGTGTGTCAGGAAAGTCCAGAGGGGCAATGGAAGACCTCATCCTTGGCTTGAGTAAGGCCATCCCTGATGCCAACCCCAGAGGCAACAACAATCCCTCTTACATACATATGTCCCACAGGCCTCAGCTGGCATCGGCTGTTCAGTGGCATCTGACTCAGGTGATGCAGGAGGGGGCAGGGTCCCTCTCCCTGACTGGCAGTCACACCTTTTGCCTGCAGACCCACACTGACATGAGAGATCTAGCAGTTACTAAAGCTTGGGCCACTCTGGTGGAGATGAGGCACTGGACCAGATTGGGGTCACAGGACAGCTGCACATCAGTCAGGACACCAGGCATCTTCACTGACCACTATAAGCAAGGTCATTCTGCACTACCAGGCTGGAAGCCAGATGCCCAGGGTGCCTGCTCTGGGTCCAACATTCAGCAAGGAGCATTAACCTAGGGTTGAGAAAACGTAGGTGGCTTTCATCCTGGGCCTGAAACCCCAGTGACCTCAGTCATACAGGGGCCTGGCTGCAGTTTCCCAGGGTGCCAGGAGGATACTGATGTCTGCAGTCAGCACCCAAGGAACTGGCCCAGCTACTAAGAAGTCTGTCTCCCTTCACAGCCGTGCTCTGCAGGCTAAATGACCTGGAGCGCCTCTAGGATGGCCACCTTGACTCTGCAGCCTTGAGGGGGGAGGTGGAATGTGTGGCTTAAGGTGGCAGAGCCCTATCCTGGCTGCAGGCAAGGCTGGGCCAGGCTCAGAACACCTTTTCAGCCTTCTCCAATGCCAGCCAGAAGAGACAAGACAGGAGCCTGAGAACAGAAAAGTTCCCAGCGAGGTTCAAGGAGGAGATCTGGGGGTGTCTGGGAGTCTAGAGGCGCCTGGCTTTTCTTGGAGCTCCCAAAGCAAGGAGGGAAAGTTAACTCCGGCCGGGAGACAACGGGTGGGAGAGGAAGCATGCCTGAGATCGCTCAAAGCACCCAGGATACCCACCCGGGCATCTTACCTGAAGTCGCTGTAGGGGTGGATAATCCAAAACCCGGCTGACTTAACCCTCTCCTGCTCGCGCTCCACGGCTTTCTGGCTGCCGAACATCCTCAGCGAGAATTTGTTGACCCCGGGTTGAAGCATGGCCCCGAATTGGCGCTGCATGAAGCCGGCCTGGCCCAGACGCACCTCCGCCTCAGGGAGGATCTGGTCGCTCGCGGCCGCGCCTCCCTCCACTTTGATAGCAGTGTCTGTGGAGGGCTGCTCGCCGGAGGTGGAGGCCGGCTGAGGCGGCTGCTGGGGCGGCGGTGGCGAGGCTGCGGGCTGCGCCGCGGCGCCGGGGCGCTCGGGCTCGGCGGCCAGGCCTGGGGGCGTCCTGTCCTCGCCGGGGGACGCGTCGCCCTCCGCGATGAGCCGCCGCTCCTCCGCGGAGTCATGCAGGTGCCCATGACTGCTGCCGCTCCCTACTCCACCACTGCCGCCGCCCCGGCTGCCCAGCGAGGCCAGGCTCCCGCGGAAGCGCCTGCAGTCTCCGTTCGTACTGGACTTGCCCGCGCTGCGGGCCGGCCCCTCGTTGTCCGCCGCCCCGAGGGCCGCACCCCGAGACTCCGTGCTGCCCGCGGCTGCCGAGGACGAGGGCGAGGGCGAGGGCGCGGGCAGGGGACGCAGTCGGATGCTCCTGCGGCTGGGATCTTGGCGGCCCCCAGCACCCTCCTCCTCTGCGTCCTCTTCCTCGTCCATGATCCACGCCTTGGCCCCCACCTGCTGCGGGAGGCTGTAGAGCCGCTTACGCATGGACGGCGGCAGCTTGTCCATGGTGCCGGGAGCCGGGAGCCGGGACCCGGCCGGGGATAGGGGTGCGGGTGCGGAGCTGGGGACTAGCTCCAGGTCCGCCCGCCTGTCAGTCCGCCTGTGGGGACGCGTCCTTCGCCGCCAGCGCGGGGCTGCCTCAGGAACCCATACTCGGGCAGGCTGCGCGCCACGGGGTGGCTCCCAGTCCGGCTCCGGGTCCCCCGGCTCGCCGCGCTGCGCCTCCTCCCAGGCCGGGCTGGGCGCGGGGACCCCGCGCTCCCTCCCTATTCCTCCCTCCCGCGTTCAGGGGCGCGGCGCGCGGCCCGGCTCCAGGCGCCCCGCCCCCGCGGGGAACAATGGGCGCGGGCAGAAGCGGTGCTGCGGTCGCGGTGCTCCAGGGACCACTCCAGAGCGCAGAGCGCACTGCTCTCGCGCCTCCCCGGCAAGCGTCCCGCGGGCTGGCGGGCTGTCAGTCTGTCGCGCCGCCGGGGCTCTGTGGCAGGTGCCTCGCCAGCTAGCCTCGCCTCCTTGACTGAGCTGGGCCGGTCGGTCTCGGGGCTCCCGCCGCAGCCGAGCGGAGCCCAGGGGCCCGCCGGGCTTACATCAGCGGCCGCCTCCCCCGGAGCGCCCTCCGGCAGCTCTTGGGCTCCCGCGCCCCGGAATATTCATGAAGCCGCCGCAGCTCGCGGGTTGCCATAGGAGCGGCTCCAGCAGCCGGGCCTGCCTACCTGGGCTTCTTAAAGGGGCAGCGGCGCACGGGCTGGGGGGTCGGGAGGGGGGCCAGGGGCGGGCTCCGCCGTGGGCGCGGGGTGGACCCTTTCTGGGCCTTAGAGACCGGGTTAGAAGGCGTCTTTACTCTCGCATCCTCAATTATCTCTCCTTGACCAAGGGCTGGGTCCGCCCCCCTGCCAAGTGTAAGAGCTTTGGCTTCTGTTGCAAAATCCCCACCTCAAGATTGGGGGCGGGGGCGGGGTTTTCCAGTCTCCTTCGAGCTCAGGGCTCTCCTTTCCCTGTCCGTTTTGCTTCTTGCCTGGGTCTCCGACCCTCCCCCGGGGAGGCGTGTCGGTTGTATGGATGCGGAGCTCCTGCCTTCCCGCAACCAGCCTGGAGAGGGGGTTTCCGGGAAACGCGCTGCGTCGGGGCGGCTCCCAGGGTTTTCCAGTGACACTAGCGGGGGGCGAACCCCGCGCTGGTCTTTCCCATGCGAAGCCTCCCGGCGGCCCAGCCAGAAGGGTGTAGGGGAAATTCGCAAGGCACTCACAGGGCGCGCGGGTGGGACCCAGCCCTTCGAGGTAAGACTTCGAGGAAATGCGTCCGCAGCAGCCTCCAACTCGGGATCCAAAGGCCGGATCCCCCACCCGCCTCTCCCCGGGAGGATCTGATGGGGTTTTGCGAGATGAGCGGGCTGCAACCCGCAGCTTGTGTAAGGGCTCCTGTGGTGAGCTGGCACTAGGGGACTGGCTTTGGATCACTTTCTCGCTATGTTCCCATTCCATCCAGACATCACCTATGTGATCCAGCCTAGGGGAGTTCCAACTCCATCCAGACCCCCCATAAGCAGCTGCACAGCCCCCACTCCGTATGCTACCCCCTCTTCAGGCCAGCCGAGGAATCCAGCTGGGTGTCCTCCCTCCCGGTGTTACATGCTGCAGGCTTAAGGACAAATCCCACTAGCTCAGCTTAATGTATAAGCTCTACTCTCCAACACCCTGAGACAGTCTGAGACCCAGATTAGCTCAGAAATGGGAAGTGGGGATAGATTGGGACTAGAAGAAAGGGGTTAGCCAGGGAAGGTTGCAGTCTGGTTCATAGTGAAGTGGATCCTCAACCAAGTCTGACAGGAAGGAGGCTAAAAGATCCCCGAACTCTGAAGAATAGCATGAAGTTTTTCTTAAGTGATTTCTCAATCCAAATTCTTAGCCTACTGTGACCACCTCCCCCCCCACCCTCAGGGCAGGAATTTTGGAGGTAGGATAGGGGAGTTGGGAAGTGTGCAGCCTTTCAGGGGCTGTTCTTGGACCACAGGACCTCCCAAGGGGGAGGGGATGACTAGGGTGGTGACATCACCCGTAGCTGGCATTTCTACTTTTGAGCAGCTCTGTTCTGACAGTTCTCTGCACAGATGCTGGGAGGCCTAATCCTTGAATGTCCTTGGGTCTCCTTGAGAAGGAATATTCTTAACTGGCTAAGAGCCCTGCCTGCCCTGGTGTACAAGCCACGAGGGGGGAAAAGACCTTTGTTTAGCTCACTTCTTTGTCCACTGGGTGCTAGTGTGCCCTAACCAGATTCAGGAAGGCAGCCCACACAGGATCCCCAGTTACCCATGACAGGGCATCTTCTCCTCCAGAAAGGAACACTTTCCTGACCACCCAAATCTTGATCATATTCGGGTCCCCCATTCCCATGGTCCATGAACTCCCATCAACCTGAATACCAATGACACAGCACATGCAGTTCATGTCCCTTCTGGACAGAGCTCCCCAGGGATAAGACAGGTTCTATTCATCTGAGACACCTGGGCACCAACACAAGGGTGGATAGGGAGCAGATCAGTAAGTGTCAACTCTAAGAATGTGTAAGGAACCCTGAAAGTTAGCTAATGTCATTGAAGGGAATTCTGGGAAAAGATGGAGGATATGGCCAAGACACAACTTTTGGGAACTGCTGCCAGTGGCTGGATAGAGGTCAAGGCCACCTAATTCTTCCACTTTGACACCTCACCTATCCTCACTTTGGCTAGCATCACCTATTCACAACCATCTAAGACAAACTTCAGGTTCAGAAATGTCCATTAGAAATTGGGACCATAGGGACCCCTGTTGAGACTGAGTCTCTCCTGTCTCCTCTTTCTGAAAGTGCTAATGGAGGATGTCTGTAGTTATACCAGCAATCTGGGGAATAGAGGAGAAGGAAGAACTAAAAGTCCTGCCCTGAGAGGGCTCCATGTGGTGAGGAAGCTAGAATAATGCTCAGGAATAAAGGACAAAACTAGGGACAGGAAATCATGAGAGATTTGAGAAGGAAAACCTCACTGAGCTTGTTGGGAGAACTTCTTAGAGGTAGGGGTTAGATTTGGTGAGAGACATGTGTCCAACACTTTATAGTTTACATCTCATTTGTTAAACCACATGAAATTGGCACAGAGAGGTCAAGTAACTTGCCAAAGGCCCATAGCAAGAAAATGGTAGAGCTGGAGCTCTGACCAAGAGTTCATAGGTCAGATTCTGCCCTATAGCCCAGATGGTTCACACAGGTAGTATGAGACAGGCACAGAAACATGAGGGAGGGGTAGTTCTGAGTCTGGCATGGCTGATAGAGGTAGCCAAGAATGGAGAGGGAATGGAGCTCCCACATTCCATACTCTTCCCATTGCTCACTCCCAGAATACCTGGGGTCTGCTCTGGTTCCTCGAATTCCACTGAACTGCTGTGAGGAACTATGGACCCCAGCAAGGGGAAGGGCCTGACTTAGGACTAGGATAAGGAGTAGACCTGCTGCTCTCAGCATCAGTGGGGGTACTAGGGCATAAGCAGGAGACCTGGGTATTCCTGGAATGCAAACCTAAAAAAGATCTGGATCTAAGAGAGAAGACGGGTAGGAAGGATGGGCTTCCTTCCCTGAAAAAGATTCTAAATGTTAGTGAAATTCAGAAGACCTGGCAGAGATGGAGTAGGCATGTAGCTGATTATATATATCAACCTCGGACCTTATTTGGTAGGGACCTGGATGGGCATAGGGGGAAAATTCCAGAAGTTTACTTGCCTGTAGACCAAGGGCATTCTTCTTGCTTGAAGAAGCAGCTCCAGGATAGTGCAGTGGATCCCATACTACTCTGCAGTGCCAAAATTTTGGCCAGTCCTGCTTGAAATGAAACACACACACACACACACACACACACACACACACACACACACAGAACAGTATAGGGTATTTTAGTTTGAGGTTGCCAACTGTCCTTTCTTAGAAGGCTGTCTCTATTCTGAGATTATATCCTTGCCACATTTTTCTGTGTGAAAATGCCCTTTTATGAAATCCTGGTGCTGGGAGATGATATTTGTTATGTCTTTGGCCAAATAAAAAGTTGGCATAGGGTTCTGTGTTTGTTCCTAAAAATCATTTTTGAAATGTTTTTGGTCTGTGAATTCCAAAAGTCTGTGCATCTCAGCTGTAAACAATAGAGCACGATGCTGGAAAACAAAAGCTACGGAATGAAATTCTTCTCTGTCACTGGCTGCCTGTGAAAGCCTCAGTATTCCTTATAGGTAAAATAGGTTTACTAATGATTTACCTCACAAGTTATTGTAAAGACTAAGCGAGAGAATGAATGCACCTAGCATACAATCTCATTATTAGCCAATTCTCATTAAACACGAAATGATAAAACTGTTGAATAAAACTTGCATTAGCCAGTGGAGGGGAAGACACTTGGCCTTTGGAATCCTATTTAGTTTACAATATTTATCCTAAAAATTGTTGTTGGGCCTGGCACAGTGATACATGCCTATAATCCCAGTGACCCGGGAAGCTGAGGCAGGAGGGTTGAAAATTCAAGGCCAGCTTGGGCACCTTAGCAGGACCCTGTCTCAAAATAAAAAATAAAATAAAAAGGATGTAACTTAGTGGCAGAAGTAAAGCACCCCTGAATTCAGTCCTCCATCTAGCGAAACAATAGCAACAACAATTTCCTGTTGGCATAGAGGAGATGTCTTATTATATAGGACTATTTCCTCTCAGTTCTCCATCCTTGGTAAGCCCTGGCTGGGTCTCCAGAAATGCAAACCTTCTTTCTGGGACAGATACTTACCCTGTCCCCAAGCCCTTTAGGCAGCTGCCTAAGTGGGATCAGTGAGAACTGACCCAGAGTCCACACCCTTGAGAAGGCTGGGGAGATTGGGTGTCCATACATGGATGCAACTTCATCTTTTATGGTAGATGTGGCCCTGCCCAGTGCACCTTCTGCTGTGCTCTAAAGCAGCTGTGCTCTGCAGGGTAGACAGGGCTCAGGGATATACAGACTTGCTGCCGGGAGTCCTGACTTGGAGATGAGGCATCTGAGAGAGACAGCGGGTATCAGCCTCATTCTTACAGGTTTTACTGGAAATGGGAAAGAGCACAGGGGGTCAGGCTGCATCAGATATGGACGTACAGGGAAAATAAATCAACCAAACCCTTGGCCAAACCCTTGGGCACCCAATCCTGTGCATAAGACACACATGGCTGGCAGCTGGGGTGCCCTAGGTTATCAGTGTCTGATCTGATTAACACGGAAGAAGGCCATCCCAGAGGTTTATAACTGAGGGTCAGAGAAAGTGGTTCAGAAGCTAGGAACAATGGATTTCCTAAGTATGATCAGAGTGGACTTCTTGGAGGAGGTAAATAGTAACCTGGGTTTTCTAGATAAAGTGTGTGTGTGTGTGTGTGTGTGTGTGTGTGTGTGTGTGTATGTGTGTTTACAGTGGAAACAATGAGTGGAGTAGCTTGGCAGAAATGAGTCCTGTGACATTCTCTCAGAAGGGTCAACAAAGGTAAGGGTAGGGCTAGGTGCCAACGTCCCATTTGGGGAACCACTAAGGTGTTGCTTAAGCTGCCTCTCAGAGAAAGTCTGCTGAGTCCATAGGACTGTATTGGGTCCCTCTGATCCCTCTCCTCCCCCCAGCACCCACCCACCCCTCCCCCCCACACACAGCCTATAAAAAATACCAAGAGCCCATATGCCCACCCTCCTCCTAATCACTTTAAGGTGATAGTGAACAAGAGAGCCCCTACAGATGCAGCTTCCCGTTGGGCTTGCCATCTGCTTTCTTTTCAGTTCTGCCTGGTTTCTTTAGGATCTAGGAGCAGGAACTATTGAACTGTCCTCTGTTCCATCCCGGGCTCTGTGCAGGACCCCACCTGTGAGCACCCGGAGCCCAGCAGAGCCCAAAGCCCTTTCATCTCCAAGCCAACCCTGCCTCTGTTGCTCTTGATCTCTCAACTCTCCCCCATCCTGTGCACCGGCTGTTCCCTGGGGACTCTGCCAAGGCACTGGGTGGGATCTCATGCCACCACCACTCCCAACCAGGAAAAGCTGGAGAAGATGTGCTGACAGCTCAGCCAGGCCTGGACTGTGTCTCTGTGTCCTGCCAGGGCTCCAGGACGTCTAGGCCACCTGGACTTGGAGCCAGGCTGGAAAGGAAGGCACTGGGAGGGAAGGCTCCCGGGGTGCTGGCTGAGCCCAGCTGCCAAGAAGTAAGTACCAGAGACAGTCTGCCTCCAAGTCTGGAATTCACCATAGATCAAGGCTGAAGTGGGCTCAGATGGGCTCCCACTGGGGCTGGGGGTGGGGTGGTCAACAACCTTGGCTGCAGGCATCAGGGAGGGAAGAAAGAGACATAATGGGAAAGAGAAAGAAGAGGGTTGGTAAATGGGGCAGGGCAGGGCAGGGGGTGGAAGGAAGGGGAGTAAAGACAGCTAGGAGATGAGACTTTTCCAGGGACCCCGGAGTGGCCCAAAGAGT